GGTTGCAGATCACAAAATCAGGCTGAGGCTATTCTCCACCGATAATAACGTCTATTGATCCTATTATCCACGGATGATAAGTCCATTAAGCACCGATTTGGGCCAATTTATTTTCGGATGGCATTTTCGTAATTTTTTGGGCGACGAAAGGCCATTTTCTTTGGGTTTTGAAGGCTACAGATCACATATTAGACCTGAAGCTATTCTTCAACAATGATTATGTCCATTAAGCGCCGATTTAGGAGGATTTATTCAGGGTCAATATTTGGCAGATTCCAAAGGGGGTACCATCACAAATTTCGGGCTGTTTTTCTGAAAAGTCATTTTCTTTCGATTCTCGAGTCTGCAGATCCTAGAATCAGGCTGTGGCTATTCTCCATCGATAATGAAGTCTATTGATCCTATTCTCCATGGATGATAAGTCCATTAAGCACTGATTTGGGCCAATTTATTTTTGGATGGCATTTTCGTAAATTTTTGGGCGACGAAATGACATTTTCTTTGGATTTGGTAGGCTACAGATCACGGATTCGGCCTGAAACTATTCTTCAACGATGATTATGTCCATTAAGCGCCGATTTGGGAGGATTTATTCCGGGTCAATTTTTGGCAGATTCCAAAAGGGTACTATCACAAATTTCGGGCGATTTTTCAGAAATGTCATTTTCTATCAATTTTGGAAGCTGCAGATCACGGAATTAAGCCTAGTCTATTCTCCACTAATAATGAAGTCTATGGATCCAATTCTCCACGGATGATAAGTCCATTAAGCACCAATTTTGACCAATTTATTTTCAGATGATATTTTCGTAATTTTTTGGGCGACGAAAGGCCATTTTCATTGGATTTTGAATGCTACAGATCACGGATTCGTCCTAAGGCTATTCTTCAACTATGATTAAGTCCATTAAGCGCCGATTTGGGCGAATTTATTCCGGGTCAATTTTTGGCAGATTTCAAAGGGGTACCATCAATTTTTGGCGAATTTATTCCGAAATGTCTTTTTCTTTCGATTCTGGAGGCTGCAGATCGCGGAATCAGGCTGAGGCTATTCTCTACCGATAATGAAGTCTATTTGTAACACCCTACCCTATACGTTTTGCCTACCCTATACGTTTTGCCTAATCATATTGTTCATACAATTGCAGCGGAATTAATCTCGGGTGTTACATTAATTATCAAAATTTACCTAAATAAAATGTCGACATGAATTACTCGCGTAATGGGCTAACAGTTCTTGCAACTAAAACCTGCAAAATAATTTATCTGAATCCATGCATTCAATGGCAAACATATATACTCACAACCATATGCATTGGCTTCTCATAGCCATAGTCACAGTTTCATACTACACAACTGCATACCATACTTATACATACCATAATCGTCACAACTTACACAGTTACACAAATATACACATATCATCAACTTTCCACACCTGTGGATATCTCACACTACATCAGAAGCTAGTATGCACATGAAAAACGTTCTGAAAACATTTTTTACAAAAAGGTGTGGATCACTGGCCAAAATCCCGAGTAGTAGTCCAAGCACATAATAGTTGAAGACCATACCTCATCCTGGCTTCAACTCTAGCTCCTCTCCCACCTAACACTTATCTACTGCTGCTGCTGATGATCTGCTTACACATAGCATAAGCAGAGAAGAAGAATAAAAGAGGGTCAGCTCATAGCTGAGTGAGATAATTATAGCATTGTGAGTTCATAACAGAGCATACCCCTATCATACATCTAACAATCAAGCCAAAACACTAGGATCGGACCTCAGCCATCCTCATATCCCAATAGGCAAAAGACTCAACCACCTTGACTTATGCATATGCATCTTATCATGTTTTACTTATAGGCGCCTGGCTACTCCCATGCTAATAACTCTCCCGAGAAACATACCCCACATCCCGTCGGATGTAGTCATACATACCCCAACATCCCGTCGGATGTGGTCATACATACCCCACACCACTATGGGTGTAGTCATACCCCGACACCAGTCTGGGTGTGGTCATATCTCGTAAGAATTCTTCAGTCACCACCACATGAGAGGTGTGACTATCATACATACCATAATAGAGTAATAGCATAGGGAGCCCTAATTACTATGTAGTTGACCGTGAGACCACAACACTCATATTTGGTATCCTTATACATGATTCATATCTCATCTTGCTTAATCATAATTCTTTACTTGCACCTGTACTTGACCTGGCCATAATTGGCTCAACATAGGTAAATCAGGAGTCGTATAATTGCACTTCCTCGGGATAAACCCTCGTGCAAGTCATCCTCCTTAAACATCATAATATTATCAGGGAATATATGTTTTCCCACTTGTGCATCCAAATACAACAATCATGAAAAATCATACCCAATCACCTTTTCGAACCATCGTAAAGCATATTAACAGTCAAGCCCACAATTTGCAACATATACACAATCATCAGCATAAACAAGGTTCATATCGGTTAGGGCAAGTCAATAATATCATACAGCAATCCAGGGTTCAACGTATAGCACAAAAGTTCATACACCCCAAATCATGCCATTCTAGTTCACCTAGATCAATTCTAAGCATCAATATAATTATCGTGATACGACAAACCCGGTATGCCGTGCTAATCCCTCACCAGTTCTGGTCGTTCAAACACCGGTTTAACCTTCCCGTACTAAAACGTCAATTTCACGAACGAACCCCGAATTAAAATCCGAGACCGTCCTAATATCCCCTGCAGTATCCCCGTCAATATTAGTTCTAGGAGCCGGGTCAAATTCTTGATAAAAACACATCAAACCCTGGCCGGATCTAAATTCAGCGGTTTGGACCCCGGCCTAAATAATAGCCGAAATTCAGGGATTAGAACTAGAGGATTGATTACCTCGTTGCAGGAAGCTCGTATATGAAATTTGGGCTCAATCCGGCTTCCGGATACTCCGAAACCCTAATTTGGCAGATAGGGAATTCAAGAAATTCCTGAACCAAAAACTCGTTTTAAAGCTCTAAATCGATAAATCACGATGTATAGATGAATTAGGCATTACTTACGGGATTTTTGGATCACTTATGCTAAAGAATCGAGCCTTGGAGTTTTTCCCCCGACGTTCCCCTGAAAGCTCTCTCCGCTCGCTCTGGTTTTTGTTCTCTCGGTGGAAAATGGAAATAATTGATTTTTGGATGGCATTTTCGTAATTTTTTGGTCGACGAAAAGCCATTTTCTTTGGATTTTGAAGGCTACAGATCACAGATTTGGCCTGAGGCTATTCTTCAATGATTATTATGTCCATTAAGCGCCCATTTGGGCATATTTATTTTGAGTAAGTTTTTGGCAGATTCCAAAGGGGTACCATCACAGATTTAGGGCGATTTTTCCGAAATGCCATTTTCTTTCAATTCTGGAGGCTGCAGATCACGGAATCGGGCCGAGGCTATTCTCCACCGATAATGAAGTATATTGATCCTATTCTCCATGGAAGATAAGTCCATTAACCACGGATTTGGGGCATTTTATTTTCGGATGGAATTTTCGTTATTTTTTGTGCGAGGAAAGGCCATCTTCTTTTTATTTTTAAGGCGACAGATCACGGATTCGGCCTGAGGCTATTCTTCAACGATGATTAAGTCCATTAAGTGCCGATTTGGACGGATTTATTCCGGGTCAATTTTTGGCATACTCCAAAGGGGTACTATCACAGATTTCGGGCGATTTTTCAGAAATTTCATTTTCTATCAATTTTGGGGGCTGCAGATCACGGAATTAGGCCTAATCTATTCTCCACTGATAATGAAGTCTATTGATCCTATTCTCCACGGATGATAAGTCCATTAAGCACCGATTTTGACCAATTTATTTTCGGATAGCATTTTCGTAATTTTTTGGGCGACGAAAAGCCTTTTTCTTTGGTTTTTGAAGGCTACAGATCACGGCTTCGTCATGAAGCTTTTCTTCAACGATGATTAAGTCCATTAAGCGCCGATTTGGGCGGATTTAATCCAGGTCAATTTTGGGCAGATTCCAAAGGGGTACCATCACATATTTCGGGCGGTTTTTCCGAAATGTCTTTTTCTTTCGATTCTGGAGGCTGCAGATCGTGAAATCAGGTCGAGGCTATTCTTTACTGATAATGAAGTCTATTGATTCTATTCTCCACGGATGATAAGTCCATTAAGCACCAATTTGGGCCAATTGATTTTAGGATGGCATTTTCGTAATTTTTTGGTCGACAAAAAGCTATTTTCTTTGGATTTTGAAGCCTACAGATCACAGATTCGGCCTGAGGCTATTCTTCAATGATTATTATTTTCATTAAGCGCCCATGGCAGATTTATTTTGAGTCAATTTTTGGCAGATTCCAAAGGGGTACCATCACAGTTTCTAGTGATTTTTCCGAAATATCATTATTTTTGTTCTGGAGGTTGCAGATCACGGAATCAGGCCGAGGCTATTCTCCATCGATAATAACGTCTATTGATCCTATTCTCCACGGATGATAAGTCCATTAAGCACCGATTTGGGCCAATTTATTTTCGGATGGCATTTTCGTAATTTTTTGGTCGACGAAAGGCCATTTTCTTTGGGTTTTGAAGGCTACAGATCACGGATTCGGCCTGAAGCTATTCTTCAACGATGATTATGTCCATTAAGCGCCGATTTGGGAGGATTTATTCCGGGTCAATTTTTGGCAGATTCCAAAGGGGTACCATCAAAGTTTTAGGGCGATTTTTATGAAATGCCATTTTCTTTCGATTCTGGAGGCTGGAGATCACGGAATCTGGCCGAGGCTATTCTCCACCGATAATGAAGTATATTGATCCTATTCTCCACGGAAGATAATTCCATTAACCACCGATTTGGGGCAATTTACTTTTGGATGGAATTTTCGTAATTTTTTGGGCGAGGAAAGGCCATCTTCTTTTGATTTTGAAGGCTACAAATGACGGATTCGGCCTGAGGCTATTCTTCAACGATGATTAAGTCCATTAAGCGCCGATTTGGAAGGATTTATTCCGGGTAATTTTTGGCAGACTCCAAAGCGGTATCATCACAGATTTCGGGAGATTTTTCCGAAATATCATTTTCTTTCAATTTTGGAAGCTATAGATCATGGAATTAGGCCGAGTCTATTCTCCTCCGATAATGAAGTCTATTGATCCTATTCTCCACGGATGATAAGACCATTAAGCACCAATTTGGGCCAATATATTCTCGGATGGCATTTTCGTAATTTTTTTGGCGACAAAAAGCCATTTTCTTTGGATTTTGAAGGCTACAGATCTTGGATTCGCCCTGAAGCTATTCTTCAACGATGATTATGTTCATTAAGCGCCGATTTTGGAGGATTTAATCCGGGTCAATTTTTGGCAGATTCCAAAAGGGTACCATCACAGATTTAGGGCAATTTTTCCGAAATGCCATTTTCTTTCGATTCTGGAGGCTGCAGATCACGGAATCCGACCGAGGCTTTTCTCCACCGATAATGAAGTATATTGATCCTATTCACCACGGATGATAAGTCCATTAAGCACCGATTTGGGACCATTTATTTCGGGATGGAATTTTCGTGATTTTTTGGCCGACGAAAGGCCATTTTCATTGGTTTTTTTAATGCTACAGATCACGGATTCGGCTTAAGGCTATTCTTCAACGATGATTAAGTCCATTAAGCGCCGATTTGGATGGATTTATTCAGTGTTAATTTTTGGCAGATTCCAAAGGGGTACCATCACAGATTTAGGGCGATTTTTCCGAAATGCCATTTTCTTTCGAATCTGGAGGCTGCAGATCACGGAATTAGGCCGAGGCTATTATCCACCGATAATGAAGTATATTGATCCTATTCACTACGGATGATAAGTCGATTAAGCACCGATTTGGGACAATTTATTTTGGGATGGAATTTTCGTAATTTTTTGTGCGACGAAATGCCATTTTCATTGGATTTTGAATGCTACAGATCACGGATTCGGCCTAAGGCTATTCTACAACTATGATTAAGTCCATTAAGCGCCGATTTGGGCCGATTTATTTTGAGTCAATTTTTGCATATTCCAAAGGTGTACCTGACTCGACTCTACTGTCACTCCAGGAATTGGCCATGTGAAACCACTTCCTAAAGCGTAGTATAGCGGGTTTGGGTTTAATTATCAACCCGGGTCCTAGATCTGATGACTACTCAGTGAGATCTTGTTATCTAGCAATGAAACTGGAATGCAAGTCTAAACTACCAAACAAACAAAGCAAAGCAGGTAAACGGTTGTATTCAGGTTAAAGAGGTCACCCGGATATGGTTCCCCCTAGACTGCAGTTAAGCCGGATTGTAATTACCAAGTTCAGTTTCTATGACAGTTATGCTGCGGAAGGTTCTTAAACAGCCTGAAGTCTCGACTAAAGGTCTTCAGACCCTCTCAATCTGACTCTCTAGCGGGCGACTAACCTCCACCGGAGTCGACAGATTGAGGCCCTAAGAACAAAACCTCCACTACCGGAGTAAATCCGGTACAGAATAGTGAGTTGGCTCCTCGACTAAAGTCACCAACTCCCTACCTTCAATCAAGGATACTCTATTAACCTAGGCAGATATTCTCATTCTAGGTTAAAGCAGAAGCAACAGGAATTTGATCAGGATTCAAGTCATTCAATCATCAAAACCTCAATCGAATATAATCAATCACAGAATCAGTACTTGGGTTCATACAATCAAAGCCTAACATACAAATCTAGGGTTCTCCATACCCAGATGAATGGGAGAACTACTCCATGGAGAAGAAAGCAAAAGCAGAATCAGACACGGAATTCATACTGCGAAGGATGGATTCCTGCTTCTGGACGTTGATTGGCACTTCTCCAAGCTCAAGCTGGCCTCCAATGGTGTTGAAGATCAATCTAGGGCACTTGGGAACTCTTGCTCGTCACTTTCTCTCTCTAGGAACTTATCTCTCTCTCAAAAACTCGAATCCCCCCGAATTGTGGCTGAAATTCTGCTTAAAAGGAGAAAATCCCGACTCACACGGCCAGGGTGGCACGGCCGTGCAGCTCACCCAGTTGCCCGTGTGAGTCAAAACGCATCGTTTCATTTAGTTCGAATTCCAGGCTCTTTGCACGGCCAGAATGGCACGGTCGTGTGGACATCCCCTCTTGCCTGTGTTTGCTCTCGCAGAATGTGGCACAGCCAACCCGGCCACTTGCACGGCCGTGTCGATCCTCTGCTCTGCCCGTGTGTGCTCTCGGAAAAACTCGCACGGCCAGGCCATTACTTCACACGGCCGTGTGAACATCAGGGCAGCCCGTGTGACCTCCTTTGTGACTTGTCTCGCGCCCGATCTTCACCCAATCGACCCCGAACTCGCTCCTAAACCTTCATTCACTTGCCAGGACCTGAAATATCACAAACAAGCACAACCTAGCGTGAAATCGGTCTAAAACACGAGAAACCACCTCTCAAACGGTGTAAGAACAGGGGTGAAAACATGTGTAACTAACGGTCTATCAAACTCCCCCACACTTAACCGTTTGCTTGTCCCCAAGCAAACCTAACTCAAACCAATGCAACTCTCCAGACCTCTATAGCAACAAACAACCCAGATCGTAGGTAGAGGACTTCCTAGATCATTTAGCAGCTTACGAGGTCAACCGACGCACAAGTCATCTCAAAGCTTCTTATCGAGTCGGCATCATGGCAAACAGTGAATAGAGGACAAATGAATTGTGGATGAAGAGATTCTAAAAAACAAAGGATCATGGACTCACATTTTTCAAGGTGCTCTATTTTCTTCTTGAAGATGGTTGGAACCCCTTTTTTCTGTTTTGCTTGTTTTCTATTATTTTTCTTTTCTTTTCTTTTCAAGGGTCCCAACCTGCTCTTACCGGCCATGCCAGGAGCGGGTGTCTCGAGCCTCGTGCGGGGGAAAGACATGTAAGGGGGCTGGGGGTAGTAGGTGGAAATTGGGAACGGATTCCCGTCTCCCCTTACACACTTTCGCCCTATTCGCACGGGAGACGTTATTTTGAAGCACATTTTCGAGCACCTGTTAAACTCAAAACATGATACAAGAGTCCATGACAGGTAGAGAATCCACAACACCACACAATTCAAGGGTCCTAAGATCACTAATTCACTCAATCCACCAACACAATATGAAGAAGAAATGAGACTTCTTAAATGCATCAACATCCTCCATAGTGCTACACTACCTCCCTAGGTTGCATATTACTATAAAGACTGTCAATTCAAAGCATACTGAGCAGGCAATTGCATGGAAAAACGTACTTGGAGCCCTCAAATTTAAAAATTTGGACAGTGGACTAGGCTCCAAGCACACAAACAGATCTAATGCAGCCAAAAGATAAACATCCCCCCACACTTAAGATCGACATTGCCCTCAATGGAGAAGAGGGAAGGGAAAGGGAAAGATGTTACCGGTATGCACGGGCTACAGGAGACTGGAAACGGGCCAGTCGGGGCAAGCACAGCTAAAGAGGAACAGAAGAGCTCAAACACAGTATGTTAGGTCCAATGTCAGCCCAATAAGACATCATCCAGAACAAAAGAAAACAAACCAAAACCGACTGGTTTACAATCCGACTCAAAACACAAGAAAGAAAATCAAACCGTGGTGGGGTTGCCTCCCCACAAGCGCTTCTTTACCGTCGTAGTAGCTGGACGCCCATGGTGGATACTCAGGGCGGTGCAGGAACAGGTGCCTCCAAGAGCGGATCCACGTCGCTCTTGAGGTACAGCTTCAGGTTGTGGCCTTGCACCCGACGGATGCGACCACCCTCATCAGTCAGCTCGACCTGCCCATCTGGCAAGATGCAGGAGAGCGAGTACCCAGACGGCCAGGGTGGTCGTGGTGCAGGAGGTGGGACCAGCTCATAGTGGTCTCCACTCTTCTTCCGTGCAGGCTTAGCAACCTGCTGCTTCGGCCGCCACTCCTCCTTGAGCTTTTTGTTCGGAGGCGAGGCTGGATGGAGTGGCGGCGAAGGAATGATAGGAGGGTCCTGCAAAATAGGAGGTGCAGAAGGGTACACGATAGGCTCGTGTACCTGATCAGACATAGCATGCACATGCGTGACAGCAATCATAGCACAGTGATCAAACTCAGTCACAGAAAAAGTAGCCTGTTCATTCCCAGCACGCAAGATCAATTTTCCATCATGCACATCAATAAGTGCCTTGGCGGTGGCAAGAAATGGCCTACCTAGAATCAAAGGCACATCCACATCCTCATGCACATCAAGAATAACAAAATCAACAGGATATGTGAATGTATCTACTTTAACAAGCAGATCCTCAATGATACCCCTAGGATGCACGATAGAACGATCAGCTAGCTGAATGCTCATCCTAGTGGGGCTAAGTTCACCTAGGTCTAGCATTTTATACAACTTATATGGCATGACGTTAATGCTAGCGCCTAGGTCCGCCAAGGACTTTCCTACATGCATGTTGCCAATAGTAAGAGGGATAGTAAAACTCCCTGGATCCTTGCGCTTCTCGGGCAGCTTGTTCTGCAGGATAGCAGAACACTCCTCGCTCAGCATCACTGTCGAGAGATCCCCAAGTTTCTTCTTGTTGGTGCAGATATCTTTCATGAACTTGGCATACTTGGGCATCTTCGACAGTGCCTCCATGAACGGTATGCTGATGTTGAGCTGCTTCAACATTGCCATGAACTTGGCAAACTCAGTCTCCAGCTTGTCCTTGTGTAGGCGAGTGGGGAAGGGAAGCTGGGGTACATGCTCCTTAACCACTGGTTGTGGCTTGGGAGCAGGGGTTTCCTTCTCCACCCGCACTTCTGCATCGTCGGCTGGAAGTGCTGAAGCAGGTAGTGGTTCCTCCTGTCTGGCCGGGACAGGATCAGCAGATATGACCTTACCGCTCCTGGTAAAAATGGCATCCAGCTGCTGATGCTGGTGAGGATCTCGAGGATTAGGAACAGTGGTGGCAGGCAAAGTCCCTGGTGCCCTGGTGGTGTTCTGGCGGGCCAAGATGCCCACCTGGGTCTGCAGATCCTGCAAAATAGCACCCTGGTTCCGCTGACCTGCCTCCAGTGATGTGATAGCAGCCTGGGTGCTGGTCATGAATGAAGCTAGAATGTTTTCCAGCTTTGTCATCCTGTCATCTGGGGCCGGAGCTGCTGCTGGCTCGGCAAACTGGCGCTGGGGCTGCTGGAATGGCTGGCCCTGCCTAGGCTGGTAGGGCTGCTGATGTGGGTCTGGCCCCTGGCGAGTCTGGAAGGGCTGCCTCTGCTGAAAACCACCTGCTGGTGCTGGGAAACCAGGTGGTTTAGTGGTGTTGCTGCTCCAGGCGAAGTTGGGATGCTGGCGCCACCCCTCATTATATGTGCTACTGTATGGATCGAGGCGCCGCGCATTGGCAATGAAGGCCAACTGCTCCTGGGGTGTGGTAGACTCCCTCATAGCCTGGCAGTCCTCCACTAGGTGATTGGAGCTCTCACACCACTGACACTGAGCAACTGGAGGTGTAGCCAAACCTCTGCCCGGAATAAGACTGTTGGGCTGCTTCAATGTCTGCACTAGCTCAGCTACCTGCTGCTCGAGCCCGGATCTGGACTCCATGGCGTGCACACCACGGTCCCGGGACTGTCTGCCTCGGCTACCCTGTCCCCAAGAATGATCTCTGGCAGCCAAAGTACTGATCATCTGGTTCAGCTCGGGTGGAGTCTTGGTAAGAATATCCCCTCCTGGGCATAGAGACTCAATCACCCTCTGGCTATCTGGCGAAAGGGCACTGTAGAAGTTCCCCATAGTGAAAGCATCACTGAAGCCATGATGGGGGCACTGCCAGAAATAGCCCATGTACCGCTCCCAAGCATCACGAAGTGACTCATCTGGCTCCTGGCGGAAGTGAGTGATCTCCCGCTGAATCTCTGTAGTCTTCGATGCCGGATAATACCTGTGCACGAACTTGTCCGCCAGATCGTCCCAAGAGGTGATGGACAATGGGGGCTGGGTCTCCAACCACCTCTTAGCATTCCCCGCCAGAGAATGGGGGAAGAGATGAAGGCGGATCGCATCATCGGGGACACCATTCAGCTTGAACCCGTTCGTCAGCTGCAGAAAACGGGAAAGATGCACCCTGGCCTCCTCATTCTTCAAGCCATGGAACTGGATAGATGATGTAATGAGCTGAATCCAGCATGGCTTGATCTCGAAATTATTTGCTGGAATAGGCGGGTAGAGGATGACCGGGCGGATGTCAGCAATCCGCGGAGTGTAGTAGTACTCCAAGGTGGGGCCCGGCTGCGGGGGATGATGAACTCCATGGTCCTGGGGTATGGGGTTGTTCCCCAGGACCTGATTCACCGGGGGAACCTGCTGTGGATTCCCCTGGTGTTGGTTGTAGTCTCCGTCCATCCCGTGCTCTTCTTCAGAATCGCTACTCAGGTGGCCGTCTATGCGCTCTTCCGTAGCCAGTCTAGCTCGCTGTTGTCTCCTGAGCTGGCGACAGGTGCGGTCAATCTCTAGATTCAACGGCAGTAAACCTCCCGACTGGCTACGGGTCATGCACTACCTGCACACACTCAAGCAAGCAAACCCGTAAAGGCACAAGTGGGACAAAGCAAACAAAGCAGAAAGAAAGGCTAAATTAACAGAAATCACTTTTCTTCAACAACCTAGCCGTCCCCGGCAACGGCGCCAAAAACTTGACTCGACTCTACTGTCACTCCAGGAATTGGCCAAGTGAAACCACTTCCTAAAGCGTAGTATAGCGGGTTTGGGTTTAATTATCAACCCGGGTCCTAGATCTGATGACTACTCAGTGAGATCTTGTTATCTAGCAATGAAACTGGAATGCAAGTCTAAACTACCAAACAAACAAAGCAAAGCAGGTAAACGGTTGTATTCAGGTTAAAGAGGTCACCCGGATATGGTTCCCCCTAGACTGCAGTTAACCGGATTGTAATTACCAAGTTCAGTTTCTATGACAGTTATGCTGCGGAAGGTTCTTAAACAGCCTGAAGTCTCGACTAAAGGTCTTCAGACCCTCTCAATCTGACTCTCTAGCGGGCGACTAACCTCCACCGGAGTCGACAGATTGAGGCCCTAAGAACAAAACCTCCACTACCGGAGTAAATCCGGTACAGAATAGTGAGTTGGCTCCTCGACTAAAGTCACCAACTCCCTACCTTCAATCAAGGATACTCTATTAACCTAGGCAGATATTCTCATTCTAGGTTAAAGCAGAAACAACAGGAATTTGATCAGGATTCAAGTCATTCAATCATCAAAACCTCAATCAAATATAATCAATCACAGAATCAGTACTTGGGTTCATACAATCAAAGCCTAACATACAAATCTAGGGTTCTCCATACCCAGATGAATGGGAGAACTACTCCATGGAGAAGAAAGCAAAAGCAGAATCAGACACGGAATTCATACTGCGAAGGATGGATTCCTGCTTCTGGACGTTGATTGGCACTTCTCCAAGCTCAAGCTGGCCTCCAATGGTGTTGAAGATCAATCTAGGGCACTTGGGAACTCTTGCTCGTCACTTTCTCTCTCTAGGAACTTATCTCTCTCTCAAAAACTCGAATCCCCCCGAATTGTGGCTGAAATTCTGCTTAAAAGGAGAAAATCCCGACTCACACGGCCAGGGTGGCACGGCCGTGCAGCTCACCCAGTTGCCCGTGTGAGTCAAAACGCATCGTTTCATTTAGTTCGAATTCCAGGCTCTTTGCACGGCCAGAATGGCACGGCCGTGTGGACATCCCCTCTTGCCTGTGTTTGCTCTCGCAGAATGTGGCACAGCCAACCCGGCCACTTGCACGGCCGTGTCGATCCTCTGCTCTGCCCGTGTGTGCTCTCGGAAAAACTCGCACGGCCAGGCCATTACTTCACACGGCCGTGTGAACATCAGGGCAGCCCGTGTGACCTCCTTTGTGACTTGTCTCGCGCCCGATCTTCACCCAATCGACCCCGAACTCGCTCCTAAACCTTCATTCACTTGCCAGGACCTGAAATATCACAAACAAGCACAACCTAGCGTGAAATCGGTCTAAAACACGAGAAACCACCTCTCAAACGGTGTAAGAACAGGGGTGAAAACATGTGTAACTAACGGTCTATCAAACTCCCCCACACTTAACCGTTTGCTTGTCCCCAAGCAAACCTAACTCAAACCAATGCAACTCTCCAGACCTCTATAGCAACAAACAACCCAGATCGTAGGTAGAGGACTTCCTAGATCATTTAGCAGCTTACGAGGTCAACCGACGCACAAGTCATCTCAAAGCTTCTTATCGAGTCGGCATCATGGCAAACAGTGAACAGAGGACAAATGAATTGTGGATGAAGAGATTCTAAAAAACAAAGGATCATGGACTCACATTTTTCAAGGTGCTCTATTTTCTTCTTGAAGATGGTTGGAACCCCTTTTTTCTGTTTTGCTTGTTTTCTATTATTTTTCTTTTCTTTTCTTTTCAAGGGTCCCAACCTGCTCTTATCGGCCATGCCAGGAGCGGGTGTCTCGAGCCTCGTGCGGGGGAAAGACATGTAAGGGGGCTGGGGGTAGTAGGTGGAAATTGGGAACGGATTCCCGTCTCCCCTTACACACTTTCGCCCTATTCGCATGGGAGACGTTATTTTGAAGCACATTTTCGAGCACCTGTTAAACTCAAAACATGATACAAGAGTCCATGACAGGTAGAGAATCCACAACACCACACAATTCAAGGGTCCTAAGATCACTAATTCACTCAATCCACCAACACAATATGAAGAAGAAATGAGACTTCTTAAATGCATCAACATCCTCCATAGTGCTACACTACCTCCCTAGGTTGCATATTACTATAAAGACTGTCAATTCAAAGCATACTGAGCAGGCAATTGCATGGAAAAACGTACTTGGAGCCCTCAAATTTAAAAATTTGGACAGTGGACTAGGCTCCAAGCACACAAACAGATCTAATGCAGCCAAAAGATAAACATCCCCCCACACTTAAGATCGACATTGCCCTCAATGGAGAAGAGGGAAGGGAAAGGGAAAGATGTTACCGGTATGCACGGGCTACAGGAGACTGGAAACGGGCCAGTCGGGGCAAGCACAGCTAAAGAGGAACAGAAGAGCTCAAACACAGTATGTTAGGTCCAATGTCAGCCCAATAAGACATCATCCAGAACAAAAGAAAACAAACCAAAACCGACTGGTTTACAATCCGACTCAAAACACAAGAAAGAAAATCAAACCGTGGTGGGGTTGCCTCCCCACAAGCGCTTCTTTACCGTCGTAGTAGCTGGACGCCCATGGTGGATACTCAGGGCAGTGCAGGAACAGGTGCCTCCAAGAGCGGATCCACGTCGCTCTTGAGGTACAGCTTCAGGTTGTGGCCTTGCACCCGACGGATGCGACCACCCTCATCAGTCAGCTCGACCTGCCCATCTGGCAAGATGCAGGAGAGCGAGTACCCAGACGGCCAGGGTGGTCGTGGTGCAGGAGGTGGGACCAGCTCATAGTGGTCTCCACTCTTCTTCCGTGCAGGCTTAGCAACCTGCTGCTTCGGCCGCCACTCCTCCTTGAGCTTTTTGTTCGGAGGCGAGGCTGGATGGAGTGGCGGCGAAGGAATGATAGGAGGGTCCTGCAAAATAGGAGGTGCAGAAGGGTACACGACAGGCTCGTGTACCTGATCAGACATAGCATGCACAGGCGTGACAGCAATCATAGCACAGTGATCAAACTCAGTCACAGAAAAAGTAGCATGTTCATTCCCAGCACGCAAGATCAATTTTCCATCATGCACATCAATAAGTGCCTTGGCGGTGGCAAGAAATGGCCTACCTAGAATCAAAGGCACATCCACATCCTCATGCACATCAAGAATAACAAAATCAACAGGATATGTGAATGTACCTACTTTAACAAGCAGATCCTCAATGATACCCCTAGGATGCACGATAGAACGATCAGCTAGCTGAATGCTCATCCTAGTGGGGCTAAGTTCACCTAGGTCTAGCATTTTATACAACTTATATGGCATGACGTTAGGCTGCAGATCGCGGAATCAGGCTGAGGCTATTCTCTACTGATAATGAAGTCTATTGATTCTATTCTCCACGGATGATAAGTCCATTAGGCACCAATTTGGGACACTTGATTTTTGGATGGCATTTTCATAATTTTTTGGTCGACGAAAAGCCATTTTCTTTGGATTTTGAAGGCTACAAATCACAGATTCGGCCTGAGGCAATTCTTCAATGATTATTATGTCCATTAAGCGCCCATTTGGGCAGATTTATTTTGAGTCTGTTTTTGGCAGATTCCAAAGGTGTACCATCACAGATTTCGGGTGATTTTTCCTAAATGTCATTATTTCTGGAGGTTGCAGATCACGGAATCAGGCCGGGGCTATTCTCCACCGATAATAAAGTCTATCGATCCTTTTCTCCACGGATGATAAGTCCATTAAGCACCGATTTGTGCCGATTTATTTTAAAATGGCATTTTCGTAATTTTTTGGGCGACGAAAGGCCATTTTCTTTGGATTTTGAATGCTACAGATCACGGATTCGGCCTGAAGCTATTCTTCAACGATGATTAAGTCCATTAAGCGCCGATTTGGGCCGATTTATTCCGAGTCAATTTTTGCAGATTCCAAAGGTGTACCATCACAGATTTCAGGCAATTTTTGCGAAATGTCATTTTCTTTTGATTCTGGAGGCTGCAGATCCTAGAATCAGGCCGTGGCTATTCTCCACCGATAATGAAATCTATTGACCTTATTCTCCACGGCTGATGAGTCCATTAAGCACCGATTTGGGACAATTTATTTTCGGATGACATTTTTGTAATTTTTTGGGCAACGAAATGACATTTTCTTTGGATTTGGTATGCTACGGATCACGGATTAGGCCTGAAGCTATTCTTTAATGATGATTATATCCATTTAGCGCCGATTAGGGAGGATTTATTCCGGGTCAATTTTTGGAAGATTCCAAAGGGGTACCATCACAGATTTAAGGCGATTTTTCCGAAATATTATTTTCTTTCGATTCTGGAGGCTGCAGATCACGTAATTTGGCCGAGGCTATTCTCCACCGATAATGAAGTATATTGATCCTATTCTCCACGCAAGATAAGTCCATTAACCACTGATTGGGGCACTTTAATTTCTGATGGAATTTTCGTTATTTTTTGGGCGAGGAAAGGCCATCTTCTTTTTATAAGGCTACAGATCACGGATTCGGCTTGAGGCTATTTTCAACGATGATTAAGTCCATTAAGCGCCGATTTGGACGGATTTATTCTGGGTCAATTTTTGGCAGACTCCAAAAGGGGTACCATCACAGATTTAGGGCGATTTTTCAGAAATGTCATTTCTTTCAATTTTGGAGGTTGCAGATTACGGAATTAGGCCTAGTCTATTCTCCACCGATAATGAAGTCTATTTATCCTATTCTCCACGGATGGTAAGTCCATTAAGCACCGATTTGGACCAATTTATTTTCGGGTAGCATTTTCGTTATTTTTTGGACGACGAAAGGCCATTTTCTTTGGATTTTGAAGACTACAAATCACGGATTCGGCCTGAAGTTATTTTTCAACGATGATTAAGTCCATTAAGCGCCGATTTGGGCGGATTTATTCCGGGTCAATTTTTGGAAGATTTCAAAGGGGTACCATCACATATTTCGGGTGGTTTTTCCAAAAAACTTTTTCTTTCGATTCTGGAGGCTGCAGATCGCGGAATCATGCTGAGGCTATTCTCTATCGATAATGAAGTCTATTTATTCTATTCTCCACAGATGATAAGTCCATTAGGCACCAATTTGGGACAATTGATTTTGGGATGGCATTTTCGTAATTTTTTGGTAGACGAAAAGCCATTTTCTTTGGATTTTGAAGGCTACAGATCACATATTCGGCCTGAGGCTATTCTTCAATGATTATTATGTCCATTAAGCGCCCATTTGAGCAGATTTATTTTGAGTCAGTTTTTGGCAGATTCCAAAGGGGTACCATCACAGATTTCAGGTGATTTTTCCTAAATGTCATTATTTTGATTCTGGAGGTTGCAGATCACGGAATCCGACCGGGGCTATTCTCCACCGATAATAAAGTCTATCGATCCTATTCTCCACGGAAGATAAGTCCATTAAGCACCAATTTTGGCCAATTTATTCTCGGATGGCATTTTCGTAATTTTTTTGTCGACGAAAGGCCATTTTCTTTGGATTTGGAAGGCTACAGATCACAGATTCGGCCTGAAGCTATTCTTCAACTATGATTATGTCCATTAAGCGCCGATGTGGGAGGATTTACTCCGGGTCAATTTTTGGCAGATTCCAAAGGGTACCATCACAGATTTAGGGCGATTTTTCCGAAATGCCATTTTCTTTCGATTCTGGAGGCTGCAGATCACGAAATCAGGCCGAGGCTATTCTCCACTGATAATGAAGTATATTGATCCTATTCACCACGGATGATAAGTCCATTAAGCACCGATTTGGGACAATTTATTTTGGGATGGAATTTTCGTAATTTTTTGGGCGACGAAAGGCCATTTCTTTGGATTTTGAATGCTACAAATCACGGATTCGGCATAAGGCTATTCTTCAACTATGATTAAGCCCATTAAGCGCCAATTTGGGCCGATTAATTCCGAGTCAATCTTTGCAGATTCCAAAGGTGTACCATAACAGGTTTCGGGCGATTTTTCCGAAATGTCATTTTCTTTCGATTCTGGAGGCTGCAGATCATAGAATCAGCGCCGTGGCTATTCTCCACCGATAATGAAGTCTATTGATCCTATTCTCCATGGATGATAAGTCCATTAAGCACCGATTTGGGCGAATTTATTTTCGGATGGCATTTTCGTAATTTTTTGGTCGACGAAATGACATTTTCTTTGGATTTGGTAGGCTACAGATCACGGATTCGGCCTGAAGCTATTCTTCAATGATGATTATGTCCATTTAGTGCCGATTTGGGAGGATTTATTCTGGGTCAATTTTTGGAAGATTCCAAAAGGGTACCATCATAGATTTAGGGCGATTTTTCCGAAATATTGTTTTCTTTCGATTCTGGAGGCTGCAGATCACGGAATTTGGCTGAGGCTATTCTCCACCGATAATGAAGTATATTGATCCTATTTTCCACGGAAGATAAGTCCATTAACCACTGATTTGGGGCACTTTATTTTCTAATGGAATTTTCGTTATTTTTTGGGCGAGGAAAGGCCATCTTCTTTTTATTTTTATAGCTACAGATCACGGATTCGGCCTGAGGCTATTCCTCAACGATGATTAAGTCCATTAAGCGCCGATTTGGACGGATTTATTCCGGGTCAATTTTTGGCAGACTCCAAACCATCACAGTTTTTGGGCGATTTTTCAGAAATGTCATTTTCTTTCAATTTTGGAGGCTGCAGATCACGGAATTAGGCCTAGTCTATTCTCCACGAAAGGCCATTTTCTTTTGATTTTGAAGACTACAAATCACGGATTCGGCCTGAAGCTATTTTTCAACGATGATTAAGTCCATTAAGCGCAGATTTGGGCGGATTTAATACGGGTCAATTTTTGGCAGATTTCAAAGGGGTACCATCACATATTTCGGGTGGTTTTTCCAAAATGTCTTTTTCTTTCGATTCTGGAGGCTGTAGATCGCGGAATCAGGTTGAGGCTATTCTCTACCGATAATGAAGTCTATTGATTCTATTCTCCACGGATGATAAGTCCATTAAGCACCAATTTGGGATAGTTGATTTTTGGATGGCATTTTCGTAATTTTTTGGTCGATGAAAAGCCATTTTCTTTGGATTTTGAAGGCTACAGATCACAGATTCGGCCAGAGGCTATTCTTCAATGATTATTATGTCCATTAAGCGCCCATTTGAACTAGGGATGGCAACAAAACCCAAACTCACGGGTACCCACCCGACCCAACCCGGTCAATGTGGGTAAAACCCGTGTTGACGGGTTTCGGGCCGTGTTTGGGTTTAAATTTGTTCACTATTCATTGGGTTGGGTTGGGTTTGGGTTTAGGTGTACCCGACCCATGGGTACCCGCCCACACGCATATAATCAATTTTCCCAGTATATTAAATAGTATAAGCAATTAATCTTCTTTATGTTTGTGGAGACATATCTAATTTTTTCTTTCTAATTTTGTAGAATGAAGTTGATATTGAGTGTAGAGTGAAGGAGCTTCATTGATGAGGAAGAAACTTTCAATTAATCATTTTGTTTACGTATAATTTTTGATTTGCTTCAATTTTCTCTAGTTTTCTAGATTGGTGTTGAACAATTTGTATGGTTAATTTGTGATTTGCTTGAATTTTCTAGAAGGGTGTTTTATATATGGATTATTTGTATTGAGATATTGATATTTGACTTTTATTTTGATAAAAACTTGTTATTGTAAATTTTTTACGACAAACCCATGGGTACCCATGAACCCGCGGATACCCAGCGGGTTGGGTTGGTTGGGTTTGAGTTTTCCAAACCCAGTGGGTTTTGCCCCGGGTTTTTTTAACGGATAAACCCATGGGTTTGGGTTTGGCAAAACCCGACCCAACCCGACCCATTGCCATACCTAATTTGGACAGATTTATTTTGAGTCAGTTTTTGGCAGATTCCAAAGGGGTACCATCACAGATTTCGAGTGATTTTTCGAAATGTCATTATTTTGATTCTGGAGGTTGCAGATCACGGAATCAGGTCGGGGCTATTCTCCACCGATAATAAAGTCTATCGATCCTATTCTCTACAGATGATAAGTCCATTAAGCACCGATTGGGCCAATTTATTTTCGGATGGCATTTTCGTAATTTTTTGGGCGACGAAAGGCCATTTTCTTTGGATTTTGAAGGCTACAAATCACGGATTCGGCCTGAAGCTATTCTTCAATGATGATTATGTCCATTGAGCGCCGATATGGGAGGATTTATTCCGGGTCAATTTTTGGCATATTCCAAAGGGGTTTCGTCACAGATTTAGGGCGATTTTATGAAATGCCAATTTCTTTCGATTCTGGAGGCTGCAGATCACGGAATCAGGCCGAGGCTATTCCCCACCGATAATGAAGTCTATTTATCCTATTCACCATCACAGATTTAGGGCAATTTTCCCGAAATGCCATTTTCTTTCGATTCTGGAGACTGCAGATCACGGAATCAGGCCGAGGCTATTCTCCACCGATAATGAAGTATATTGATTCTATTCACCACGGATGATAAGTCCATTAAGCACCAATTTGGGACAATATATTTTGGGATGGAATTTTCATAATTTTTTGGGCGACGAAAGGCCATTTTCATTGGATTTTGAATGCTACAGATCACGGATTAGGCATAAGGCTATTCTTCAACTATGATTAAGTCCATTAAGCGCCGATTTAGGGCGATTTTTATGAAATGCCATTTTCTTTCGATGCTGGAGGCTGCAAATCACGGAATCATGCCGAGGCTATTCTCCACCGATAATGAAGTATATTGATCCTATTTTCCACGGATGATAAGTCCATTAACCACTGATTTGGGGCACTTTATTTTCTATTGGAATTTTCGTTATTTTTTGGGCGAGGAAAGGCCATCTTCTTTTTATATTTAAGGCTACAGATCACGGATTCGGCCTGAGGCTATTCTTCAACGATGATTAAGTCCATTAAGCGCCGATTTGGACGGATTTATTCCGGGTCAATTTTTGGTAGACTCCAAAGGGGTACCATCACAGATTTCGGGCGATTTTTCAGAAATGTCATTTTCTTTCAATTTTGGAGGCTGCAGATCACGGAATTAGGCCTAGTCTATTCTCCACCGATAATGAAGTCTATTGATCCTATTCTCCACGGATGATAAGTCCATTAAGCACCGATTTGGACCAATTTATTTTCGGATAGCATTTTCGTAATTTTTTGAGCGACGAAAGGCCATTTTCTTTGGATTTTGAAGACTACAAATCACGGGTTCGGCCTGAAGCTATTTTTCAACGATGATTAAGTCCATTAAGCGCCGATTTGGGCGGATTTATTCCGGGTCAATTTTTGGCAGATTTCAAAGGGGTACCATTACATATTTCGGGTAGTTTTTCCAAAATGTCTTTTCTTTCGATTCTGGAGGCTGCAGATCGCGGAATCAGGCCGAGGCTATTCTCTACCGCTAATGAAGTCTATTGATTCTATTCTCCACGGATGATAAGTCCAATAATCACCAATTTGGGACAATTGATTTTTGGATGGCATTTTTGTAATTTTTTGGTCGATGAAAAGCCATTTTCTTTGGATTTTGAAGGCTACAGATCACAGATTCGGCCAGAGGCTATTCTTCAATGATTATTATGTCCATTAAGAGCCCATTTGGACTAGGGATGGCTACAAAACCCAAATTCACGGGTACCCACCCGACCCAACCCGGTCAACGTGGGTAAAACCCGTGTTGACGGGTTTCGGGCCGGGTTTCGGTTTAAATTTGTTCACTATTCATTGGGTTGGGTTGGGTTTGGGTTTAGGTGTACCCGACCCATGGGTACCCGCCCACACGCATATAATCAATTTTCCCAGTATATTAAATAGTATAAGTAATTAATCTTCTTTATGTTTGTGGAGACATATCTAATTTTTTATTTCTAATTGTGTAGAATGAAGTTGATATTGAGTGTAGAGTGAAGGAGCTTAATTGATGAGGAAGAAACTTTCAATTAATCATTTTGTTCATGTATAATTTTTTATTTGCTTCAATTTTCTCTAGTTTTCTAGATTGGTGTTGAACAATTTGTATTGTTAATTTGTGATTTGCTTGAATTTTCTAGAATGGTGTTTTATATATGGATTATTTGTATTGAGATATTGATATTTGACTTTTATTTTGATAAAAACTTGTTATTGTAAATTTTTTACGACAAACCCATGGGTACCCATGAACCCGCGGATACCCAGCGGGTTGGGTTGGGTTTGAGTTTTCCAAACCCTGTGGGTTTTGCCCCGGGTTTTTTTCACGGATAAACCCATGGGTTTGGGTTTGGGTTTGGGTTGGCAAAACCCGACCCAACCCGACCCATTGCCATCCCTAATTTGGACAGATTTATTTTGAGTCAGTTTTTGGCAGATTCCAAAGGGGTACCATCACAGATTTCGGGTGATTTTCCCGAAATGTCATTATTTTGATTCTGGAGGTTGCAGATCACGGAATCAGGTCGGGGCTATTCTCCACCGATAATAAAGTCTATCGATCCTATTCTCCACAGATGATAAGTCCATTAAGCACCGATTGGGCCAATTTATTTTCGGATGGCATTTTCGTAATTTTTTGGGCGACGAAAGGCCATTTTCTTTGGATTTTGAAGGCTACAAATCACGGATTCGGCCTGAAGCTATTCTTCAACGATGATTATGTCCATTAAGCGCCGATGTGGGAGGATTTATTCCGGGTCAATTTTTGGCATATTCCAAAGGGGTACCGTCACAGATTTAGGGCGATTTTTATGAAATGCCAATTTCTTTCGATTCTGGAGGCTGCAGATCACGGAATCAGGCCGAGGCTATTCTCCACCAATAATGAAGTCTATTTATCCTATTCACCATCACAGATTTAGGGCGATTTTCCCGAAATGTCATTTTCTTTCGGTTCTGGAGACTGCAGATCACGGAATCAGGCCGAGGTTATTCTCCACCGATAATGAAGTATATTGATTCTATTCACCACGGATGATAAGTCCATTAAGCACCGATTTGGGACAATATATTTTGGGATGGAATTTTCGTAATTTTTTGGGCGACGAAAGGCCATTTTCATTGGATTTTGAATGCTACAAATCACGGATTAGGCATAAGGCCATTCTTCAACTATGATTAAGTCCATTAAGCGTCGATTTGGGCCGATTAATTCCTAGTCAATTTTTTCAGGTTCCACAGGCGTACCATCACAGATTTCGGGCTATTTTTCCGAAATGTCATTTTCTTTCCATTCTGGAGGCTGTAGATCCTAGAATCAAGCCGTGGCTATTCTCCACCGATAATGAAGTCTATTGATCCTATTCTCCAAGATGATAAGTCCATTAAGCACCGATTTTGGCCAATTTATTTTCGGAAGGCATTTTCGTAATTTTTTGGTCGACTAAATGACATTTTCTTTGGATTTGGTAGGCTACAGATCACGGATTCGGCCTGAAGCTATTCTTGAACGATGATTATGTCCATTAAGCGCCGATTTGGGAGGATTTATTCCG